AAAATAATATATAAACAAAAACTACTAAAAATTAAAAATACTAAATAAAAATTAAACTAAAATTAAAATTAAAATATAAAAATACAAAACTAAATAAAGTGAATATACATATATAGTACATATAGTACATATACAGTGGGTACGGAAAGTATTCAGACCCCCTTAAATTTTTCACTCTTTGTTATATTGCAGCCATTTGCTAAAATCATTTAAGTTAATTTTTTTTCCTCAATGTACACACAGCACCCCATATTGACAGAAAAACACAGAATTGTTGACATCTTTGCAGATTTATTAAAAAAGAAAAACTGAAAAATGCTCAGTATTTAGTAGAAGCACCCTCTTGATCTAATACAGCCATGAGTCTTTTTGGGAAAGATCCAACAAGTTTTTCACACCTGGATTTGGGAATCCTCTGCCATTCCTCCTTGCAGATCCTCTCCAGTTCTATCAGGTTGGATGGTAAACGTTGGTGGACAGCCATTTTTAGGTCTCTCCAGAGATGCTCAATTGGGTTTAAGTCAGGGATCTGGCTGGGCCATTCAAGAACAGTCACAGAGTCGTTGTGAAGCCACTCCTTCGTTATTTTAGCTGTGTGCTTAGGGTCATTGTCTTGTTGGAAGGTAAACCTTAGTTCCAGTCTGAGGTCCTGAGCACTCTGGAGAAGGTTTTCGCCCAGGATATCCCTGTACTTGGCCGCATTCATCTTTCCCTCGATTGCAACCAGTCGTCCTGTCCCTGCAGCTGAAAAACACCCCCACAGCATGATGCTGCCACCACCATGCTTCACTGTTGGGACTGTATTGGACAGGTGCCTGGTTTTCTCCACACATACCGCTTAGAATTAAGGCCAAAAAGTTCTATCTTGGTCTCATCAGACCAGAGAATAATGATTTTAGCAAATGGCTGCAATATAACAAAGAGTGAAAAATTTAAGGGGGTCTGAATACTTTCCGTACCCACTGTATATATATATATATATACTAAGATAGCCTCTCAGTGACACTAAAATAACACTGAAATAGGAAAAGAGAACATATTACATAATGTAATAATACACTAACCCATAAATGATAAAATACAATTTTTTTTAATGATCAGAACAATTCAAGCTTGAAGTACAATATTTATGTTTTAGTTTGCAGTCAGTCAATGAGCACCACACCAGTGTTAATTTCGTCAACGAAGACGAGGACGAAAAATATTTGTTAACGAACATTTTTTCTATGACTAAGACTAGACGTTGACGAGCTAAAACTAATATCTGATGATAAAAACTATGACGAAATTTATGCCGCGTCTTCGTTAACAAGACCAAATGGGACTATAATGTTATTTGAGGACTACCATAACACTGAAATAGGAAAAGAGAACATATTACATAATGTAATAATACACTAACCCATAAATGATAAAATACAATTTTTTTTAATGATCAGAACAATTCAAGCTTGAAGTACAATATTTATGTTTTAGTTTGCAGTCAGTCAATGAGCACCACACCAGTGTTAATTTCGTCAACGAAGACGATGACGAAAAATATTAATTAACGAACATTTTTTCTGTGACTAAGACCAGATGTTGACTAGCTAAAACTAATATCTCATGATAAAAACTGTGACGAAATTTATGCCGCGTCTTCGTTAACAAGACCAAATGGGACTATAATGTTATTTGAGGACTACCAGACCTTCAAAATACATCCTATAGACTACTGTCCTTCAAAATTTGCATCCCTGTCATTGGATTGCAATCGGATAAGGGGCGTTTGCATATCTAGTCTCAGTATGGCAGCCGCAGTGGATGGATAGGCCACCAAAATGCGAACTAGCAATCTGAAACAATGGTCTCAGCACCCGAAGGGGTAGGGATAAGGTGACCAGACGTCCCGTTTTTCCCGGGAGTCACAATTCGTTGTTGATTAACTTAAAGTTATGCCCGGTTCAGACTTGACGATTTGCTTGACGTAGGGTGTCGTGGGGATTCGTAAACGACAATGGGCGTCGGGACGCAAGATTCCATCGTTTCAGCACGTGTAGTGTGTCATAGTGGACGACAACCGATTCCGCGTCAGCGATGCTTCACGACATCACGACAGAAAGACTAGCATGTTGAATTTTTTCTGTCACATTGGTGACGTTGACCAATAGCAGCACAGAAGCTCTTTCATACACAGGTTTCAAACATGGCAAAACGAAAGAGAGATGATGGTGCTGCTAGGTGGAAGTATTACATGCATGCCTTCCGTCTTAATGCTGATTTATACTTCTGCGTCGGACCTACGCCGTAGCCTTTACACCGTAGGCTATGCGTCAGTTTTCATTTATACTTCTGCGTCGTTGTCCGCGTCA